GGTGGGGCTTATCTTAGAGATATTATGGGCATTTCATCAATTACCCTGTAGGATAGCTACAAACCTTGGATTCAGGGATATGTGTCAATGGCAATAGACCCCCTGTGTGGGACATCAATCTGGGTCACAACACAGTTCAAGGGGGGTATACTAAAGTAGGACTGTTCACATATAAATGACATTTCAAAATTATAATACAGATTTCATATCGAATTAAAATTTAGTGTAATAAACAAGACTGACGTGATGATAGACTTATAATAGACAAAAGTTATGGAAAAGAAATTATAGAGTTTTAGCAAGAATTGTACAAATTATTTTCTTACAAATTTGTAATATAAAAAAAATAAAAAAAGTTCTCATTGATAATAAGCGCTGCGGCTGGTTTGAGTAATACAACAGTACACTATGAAGTCTTACCAATAAACTACATTCTTGTATGTTCTGCACCAACAACATCTTTTTTCAAGTTCTAAATCCCATTAAAGCATAAAAGGCATTAATTTATTGATTTCAGTTTCGTTACAGGGTGCTAGTTTGAAGGCGCCAACAAAATGATCTTTATTTAGACATTGTTTTGTGGAGCAAAGTTGCAGAGGTAAATACTCAATAAATGAAAACACAACCATGTAACTCAAAGTAGATACAATTTATTTATCAAGGCATCAAGGTAAAATTTATAAGCCTAATGTTGAATGTCTATCACTTTGAAAAGGTGCGAAAAACACCCAAAATCCATCGAAAACATGGGCTATAGTCCATGCTTTTTGTCCAAATATGACCCATTTTTCATTTTCTATGAATTATGCATCACTTTAAAAAATGTGTAAAAATCACCCAAAATCCATTAAAACCATGGGCTATAGTCCATGCTTTTAGGCCAAAAATGACCCATTTTTCATTTTCTATGAATTATGCATCACTTTGAAAAAGGTGCGAAAAACACCCAAAACCCATCAAAACCATGGGTTATAGTCCATGCTTTTTGGCCAAAAGTGACCCATTTTTCATTTTCTATGAATTATGCATTACTTTGAAAAAGG